TAGACCTCTTTCACCTTGGCCTCGATGAACTGAAATCGGGGGGATTATTTGGATTCCGCAAATGATTTCTGCCCACCAGCGCCACCAACCATGCTGACACAAGTGTTTCGCTAAGAACCTTGGCTAGGTTGCCTCTGCCATCTCAGACTCCCAAAGGACCCATGCTAGCCTGCCACAGGCTTCAAAATCAAGCAGATGCTCCCAAATATCTCTGCAAGCTTGCTGACCCTCACAGGCTCCCAAAGTATCTCTGCTACCTTGCTCACCCTCCGAGGCTCCCCTCCATCAGAGGCTAATCTCTGCTATCTTGCACGGCTCCACAAGCGACCTTTCCTTTCCCCAAATATCTCTGCTAGCCAATCTAGCTTCTCAATGGTCGAGCCGTTCCCTAAAGAGCCCCTGCTAGTCTGCCTGCCCTCCCAAAATTCCGATGCTGATCGTTTCCGCCCGCAGCCGACGTCATTTCCCTCTAAAAATGAATGTTCCACAAATAGGGGGAAGGGGGGGTCAAGTGGGGGATGGTGGAGCGGCAGTGACCACCGCCAGCCAGTCCGTCTATTTGCTAACTGCAAAATCAAGAAACCCCTCTACTTTGCGTTACCTATCTTTTCTTCGGGCGCCTAACTTGTTCCCCCCTAACCGCTTGACCCCCCAATGATCTTGGCCGGCTATTTGCCAGTTCAAAAATGTGGGCCCTGATCACTGCAGCATGTTCCGAGAAGCTGATGCATTTCGAAATTGGATAGGGGGATCAGCTGGTTTAAAGAGCTTTCAAGGAAGGGAGAGCGAGAGAAAGATAGAGAGAGAGAGAGAAAGAGAGAGAGAGAAAGAGAGAAAGAGAGAGAGAGACAGAGAGAAAGCTCGTGTATCCAGATATGCGAAATCGACCCCTTCAACCGCCTAGGTATCGACAACTACGTTCCGCGCCAAATGACGCCTTCAACTTGTTTTTTTATAGCTTTTTGGCTAGCTTTTTAGCTTTTAGAAACCTAAAATAAATATTCGTGCGCGCGCCTACGCGCGGCATTTGGCGCGGTGCGTAAGTGTCTACACCTAGTTGACAGAAGGGTAGGTTCTCAGACTTTCTAGCGCCTTGCAATCCTATTTTTAAAGGCTCTATACGATAGACAAGGCGCTTTCATTGTTTTAAAGGGAGCGTGACATCCAGTACAAATTTCTAATCTCCTGACCTGCTGCAAGACCGCGGGCACCTTCTTGGGAAGCGTGATGTTGGTGCACTCCTGGGGCAAAGAAGTGAACTCCTGGTCGGGCCACCAGCATTTCACCTACAAGTGTTTGTTATTGTGTGATTTTAAAGGGACTGTAAAGTCGGAGAAATTGCAGATTTTAGGCTAGAGTACGTTACCTGCTTCCAGTCGCTCCATTTTCCGCACTGCTCACGGTGGCGGTGTCGGTTCGAGTCGGAGGCCGGGTCCATGGATATGATCGTCATCAGCGAGGCGCTCGGGTCGAGGATCTGAAATTTTTAGCTAGGCCTCTCTCGCTCTCGCTCTCGCTCGCTGTCTCAATATCACTCTCTCTCTCTCTCTCTCTCTCTCTCTCTCTCTCTCTCTCTCTCTTTCCCGCTCACCTGCATCCCAGATCCAGCTCCTCCCGGTCCTCCTTGAGCTCCTCCTCGTTGACCCTGCCCTTGTCTTGGGCCCATCTGCTGTGATCCCTGCAGTCCACTATTTTGTCCTCCTTGCTGAGGTCCTCCAGCTTCACCCCTCCCGCTCTCCTGATCCATCGTGGGTCCTCCAGGGCCTCCTCTCTGCTGTTGTTGTTGCTGCCCGAGGACCGCCACGGCCGCTAGGGCCAGCAGCAGTGAGCGAAGCATGGCTAGAAATGGAGGAAATTCAATGGAAACTTATTAGAAAGGCAGAAAAACTTATAGAATAATAAAGAATAAAAGTAAGTAAGAGTAACAGAAATGCAAAATGCAAAATGCAAGGAAATGCTAGATGTAGAGAGAGGGAGAGGAGAGGGAGAGGAGAGAGAGAGAGAGAGAGAGAGAGAGAGAGAGAGAGAGAAGGAGAGAGAGGGATATGAAGCCCATGCATACCCAAAAATTAATGCCTCTCTCGTCATTTGTAAGAAAACAAGCTAAAAACCACAAATTTTTGAAAATTCTAGGATTTCAGATTTTTCTGTCAAGTTAAGGCAGCAGCAGAAAAATATGGTAGGTATTTGAGGGTCAACATCATGTCAAAAGAATTGGCCCACCCACCGACCAATTCTCCCCTCCATCCGACTCTCTCTCACGCTCTCTCTCTCTCTCTCTAGGACCAACCACCTTGAAAATATTTGTTTTCTGTGGAAATCAGTTGGGGAAAGGAGAGAGTGAAAGGGGTAGCGAAAAATGTGAGGTATGGAATTAATAAAAAACGGTCAATACTGGCAATGTAGTTCTGACGCGTTGAATTCGAAACGACTACCAAAAGGGATACTAAAGAAACCGTTTGGGCGAGAGAGCGAGAGAGAGAGACATCTAGATAGAGAAAGAGAGTGACATAGAAAGAGAGAGAGAGAGAGAGAGAGAGAGAGAGAGAGTGAGAGAGAACGAGTCAGAACGATAGAGAGGTCCCTTGAACGAAAGCTATAGGGACAGCCAAGCCAGGAAGAGAGAGCGACAGAGAGAAAGAGCTGCTAATTTAGCCAAAACACGTCCTGCTCTTTGTTTACAAAATCGGCGTTAAGCCTGACAAGGCCATTAAAGCTACCAAGTCACAAAAAAACCGCTTTTTTTATACTTGAAAAATAGGACTGAGCGTAATGAATACGTAGCCAAAAATGCAGTCGGTTGGGAATATGCGGTTGAACGGCTTGCACAACTCGTCGGATCCAAAAATAAGAGGCCCTCTAAAAGTAGCCAAACCTTTAGAAATAAAAACCCCGAGGTATCGCTGCCCTGCTGATCATCCACCGCCCCCAGGTCGTTTTATATCGGCATCAACGGCGATGCGGATGTTGGGCATGGCTCGGGCTCACCGTCTATTTACCCGCCGGTATCTGTCTGTTTGTATGTCTGTCTGTCCGCTCGTCTCTCTGTCTGTCTGTTGCCCCTCGTTCTTCAAGCGCATGGTCGGGTTAGGGCCCCTCCCACCGTCAGTTAGTGGTGGCCCAAAGAGTTCACCGGTGCGCGGACGACACAAAATCCGACAAAACAACGGCCCCGAGCAGGACACTCATCCATCGACCGGTTGAGGGGCTGAAAAGTGATGCCAGTCATCCGCTGGTGAAGCCATCCGTGAAGCGGTGGCCATTTTCTGACCGTGCCTCTGCAACGGATGCGGTGGGCTTGAAATTTCAGCGTTTTTCACGCGATTTATCCGACACTTGCCTTGAAAATGCCGAAAAGATGCGCAGGCAAGCTATCAAAGAACCTTGGCTGATGCACTACTGGCCCTATATCAAACTGCAAATAATTATCAGCTCGATTCCAAAAATTTGAAAGGTTAACCGGAGTAACTGTAATAATCTGCAATCTGCCTCGTTTTTGGAGCGGTCTCTTTTCGGGTGGTGCTCCTTTCCTGATTTGAAATCACAAAAATTTAGTTTTGTTTTTGCCATGAAGCCTCGCAAATTCCAAAATTTCAAAAAATTTTCGTGATGTAGCTCAGTTGATAGAGAAAAAAAATGTCCGGGTTGCACCAGCTAATTATCCCAAAAATCTTCGGAAGACTGAAGCCGTGGAAAGCGGCCCATTCTTGGCTTCTTTCAGGGCGAAATCGTTGATAACTTCCGAGAAAGGGCTATTGCGCAAATTTTGTAAAGACATTCGGAAGAGGCGGAAAATTCCGTACAATCTAGGCTTTGCCCCAGCTTTAAACTCGAACTCCGCTCAAAAACTTCCCCTTGTAGTTAGGTTTCGGGAGGCATTTTAGCTTGGAACTATTCATCGAGGCTTATCTGCGTTTTGCAGACCTCATCAGCTAATTTTTACACCTAAAAGCCCCAAGTAGATACCTTCTTCCACCCGAAATTTCCAACATCGCTCGCATTCCGCCGCTGCCATGCGAACGATTTTTCAAAACCACCGCCCCAACGATGAATCCGACCCATAAAAACGCATCGTGATGTATGCCGGGCCACGCATATCGGATCGCCGGTAATTACGCGCAAAAACAGCCGGCGATTTGGCATCGCCCGAACCGGTTGTGTTCCGGCAAGCCGGGCTTTCTCCGGCCCTACTGGCATCTGCTGTAAATGTTGCTAGCCGAGGCGCCCCCTGATCTGGATCAAAATACGCCACCCTCTCCCTCCCCAATTCAATGACTCAATGCGCGAACGTGGGACCTGATTTTTGAAATCGCAAAAAATGGTCCGTTGCTGGCGGTTGGGGGGCATTTACTGCGATAGGGCAACCAGGGTAAATAACTTTGGTCGCTGATTGGACCCTACCCCGGGCCAAGAGTTCCGCAGATTCGAGAAGTAGCAAAGGATTTGGGCCACAATGTCTACTTGTAATATTCACTTCTAAATAGTTAGTTTGATGTAGTCTAATAGGGATAGACGCTTCCGCTTACCAGTGTTGTCCCCTTTCCGTGCATTTCAATCCGTACAACATTTGCTAAAAATTTTATAAAAGAAAAAACACAACGCGGGTTCATCACGGGAAATCTACATGCATTCATGATAAATAATGACAGAGACCGTGGGGTTGGGAGAACATTTGGGGGGCGGAAAGCGGCATGGTTAAGCCGTGCAAACGTGTGGCCCAAAGAGCCGAGACGAGGCGGCGACAAGCCGCGGGGCTAGTACCGTGTAACTATTATAATTGCACAAACGAGAGTACAAAAAAGTAAATATAAACAGGGGGTAGGGGGCACACGCAACGGCCGCCGCACAGCCAGGTCCGGCGATAAATTAAAGCATTCACAGCAAATCTTGTGCACATGTTTGGTGAGTCTGGCGCAACAGCGGTAAAATCATAGATTTGTTGGTGGAGGAGGGGGGAGGCCATTCACGTGGGGGAGGAATAAGCTCGACGTGATGGACTATTGCTTGTAGAGCGCCTTGATGACGTCTTGGTACTTCTTCTCGATGGGCTTCCGCTTCAGCTTCAGCGCCTCGGTGAGCAACCCGGCTTGCGGGGTCCATTCCTGAAAGAATACTTTGCTGAAACCATGAAAATCGCACAAACCTCTTCACATAGATGGATCGCCGATGGGATCTCTCCCTTGTGCAACTTGTTCTTCAACGCGTGCTCGTCCAGCTTCTTCTTGTACGCCGCCTTCACATCCTTGTTCGCACAGAGCGTCGGCATGTCGGTGACGGTGAGGCCAACCTAAATAAATAGTAACATACAGCAATATAAAGGAAATCGAACCTCCTCGCCAATCTTCTGCAGGTGCTTGGCGTTGGGCACGACGAGGGCAACGATGGAATCCTCCATGCTGCTTCCGTACACGCAAATGTTGTCGACCATCGGGCAGTTGAGCAACGCACATTCCACCTAAAAAAGCGGCTGATTGAAAAAATCTAAACATCAGACACAATGCGAAAGACATCCCCGTCTAGAAAAGCAAAAAGTTGTTTTCTAAAAGTTTCGGGCGCAAAACTGACCCACGATCAGCCAAAAAATAGAAACCCTAAGTGTCCCCTACCTTCCTAATCAGTGGTTGCTTCCTTTCAAAAGAGAAACCATTACCTTTGCCAGTGAGACGTATTCGCCATGTTGCAGCTTGACCAGGTCCTTCTTGCGATCGATGATGTTCAGGGAGCCGTCACTTCGCTTCTGGCCAATGTCGCCGGTGGCGAAGTAGCGCTTGCCCTTGAGCTCGATGAAATCCTCCTTGGTCTTCTCAGGCTTCTTCCAGTAACCAGCGGCGATGTGGGGGCCGGAGATGAGGATTTCACCAGTCGGCGGGTCGTTGAATGGAGAGTAGCCGGCTTCAGGCCATTCACTAAATCTCGAGTTGAATCAAATACTGAAACAAACCGGAGGGCAATCTGCGCGCAACGAACGGGCGGTCCAACGGTTCCAGTCGACAGATCCTCGGTGTCGGCAATGCAGGCAGCTCCGCAGGTTTCAGTAAGGCCGTAACCCTAAAATAATAAAATTACATGCCTCAGATCAACAACAAACCTGAATGACAGGGCAGCACATGCAGATGTTCATGAAGCGCTGCGTCTCCGGGTTCAGCGGGGCTCCGCCGGACAGGACACCCTTCAGCTTGCCGCCCAAAAGCCTGCGAATCTTCTTGAAGATGATCCGATCGAGGAAGGGCGAGCAGTAGCCGTCTTGGTAACGAGAGCGCTTGCGTTCATAGTTGAGCTTGAACAGCTCCTGCATGAAACGGGGGCTGGCAGCAACCTCTTCCGAGACGGCCTTGAAGATACGATCCATAATAGCCTGAAAAGCAGAAATTACAAAAGTATTCGTTGCGAATCGGACATGCGCACAAAACAGCCAACGACATACAGGCCGAAGACAATGGAAAACCACACCGATAGCACTCTTAATCATAAAAATTTACCGGAACCGCAGCCATCACCGTCGGACGAAGAGCATAGCAGTCGCCGTGTGTGCCCTTGAGGATCTTCGAGGCTCGGTCGTGCAGCGTCAGCGGTGAAGAGTAGCCGACACGCGCACCACGTGAAAGCGCCGTCAGCTCAGCGTCCATCTCGAGAATATGCGCCAACGGAAGGTAGCCGATGTAAGTGTCGGTGTCCCTAAACAAAACTTAGAGAAAGAAAAAGAGAATACTTACGTCAGTATCTTCTTGACTCCGTTCCCTTGACCAGCGATGGCGGCGACAACGTTCGAGTGGAGAAGCATCACGCCCTTCGCGTCACCGGTTGTTCCAGAGGTGTACATGATGAGGGCGAGGTCGCTGGACTTGGCCGTAGACTCAACTAAAGATCGTAATGATATACGCAAGCCGACTAAACCTTACCAATTAGCTGAGAGTTGCGTTCCTTTAGCTGGGAGAAGGAGAAGACGTGCTTGAACTGCGACTTGTAGGCATCGAGAGCCGGTCCCTTCGAGGTCGGGTCAACTGGCGGGAAGTACATGAGCGTGTGGACGGTTGGGCACTTGGAAGTGAGGGTGGAGCCAATCTAAAACAAAAAGTTAACAGTTTCCGACAAGCTAGGTAGAGGCGTTAAGAGTAAAAAAAAATTAACCTTCTCAAGCAATTCGGCAGAAGTCACAAGCATGAAGGCTTCAGTCTCGTTGATGGCGGACACGATCGCGTCTTCACCCAGCGTCGCATAGACGGTGACGACGGTAGCGTTCACACGGAAGCAGGCCAGCGCAGTCATCATCCAGTGAGCACGGGTCTCGGCATAGATAACAACCTAACACGAGAGTTTCAGAAAGCAGTAAAAATACTACCTTAGGCTCAGCGCTTCCCTTCGACAGGTCCTTGATGCCGGCGGCCAGTTGCTGCACTTGACGCTCAACCTCCTTGTAGGATGACCATTCATAGTCTCCGAGGTGCCACTAAATACAAGTAAAGAAATCAGAAAATAGATACCTTCTCAAAAAGGCGGCCATTCGGTTGCTTCTCTTGGACCACCTCAATGAGTTGGCGCGTGCCCAGCGCGTCCTTATCGCCGTACATGGAAACCATATGGCGCCACAGCTAAACAAAGCGAATAGACAGGGAACAAAGTGCACATAGGTAGGGGCAAACAGTTCTAATTTGGTCTACAAAATGCACCTTATCAACAGTGTCCTTCCCGGGGTGATCCATGGCGACCATACCATCAACGTTCTCGATAGGCCCATCCCGCTCCTTCTCGTTTATCCATTTTGCCTAATCGGAATATGGGCAAAAGCATTCTATCAATACCTTGACTCGTCCAGACTTGCGCAGCTTTTCGGCTGGTGAATTGAAGAGCTGGTAGGGCAGGTAGTTCAAACAGTCGTAGATGACGAACCATAGGCGCAGGATGCCGATGACAATGCGTATCCAAATCGGCGACTCTCCTTTGACAACCTAAAGAAAAGCATAGAGCAAAAACTAAAAGAATTACCTTGTTCAAGGTGGCATCCCTCCTAGAGTCGTACTTCTCGTTATTATTGTTCCCAGCCATGAGCCGCAACTGAAAAAGAATAGAATGAGAATGTAACAAGGCTTTAGAAGCATCATCGAAATAAGAAAATTGAGTCATCAAAGGTTTTCCGACATGCGTCAGCTGGCCATGTGCCAACAGCGAACCCCCAAAACGGTCAAAAATAAGGCGCGTTACGAAATCTGCAACGTTGCATTGCTGACGGGGCGCAAAGTGGGGTGAGGCCATCGGGGGTGACGCGTTTCTCATTTTTCTCTGAGGGTGTTGGACGACTTTTCCGCATGGAACGCCGGAAAGGCGGGGTGGAGAGTTCAGGCGCCAATTCAAATGCGGTGGGTCCATGGGGGAAAGGCCCAGGTGGGTCCAAGAGCATGGAGGGCCAAGAACAGCGCTCAGGAATAGCTGCCGACAAGAAAATCAGGGGCCTGAATGAGGCATCAGGCGCCGCAATTACGCTATCAGCCCGGAAGCCGCAATCTGCCCCAATCAGCAGTTGTAACAAAGGACTGGGTCCAAACCATACCACGCGCAAAAAAAATTCAAAAAAATTCGGTTGCGCGAAAATTCGAGGAAAAAGCGGGAGCGAAAAATCACCGCTACCTCGGCAACGGTCTGCGTTTTAGAAAGGCAGCGGTGCGCTACGGTGTGTTTAGTATTGTCGTGTACCTCGAATTTCCGAATTTTCGCAAAAGTCGAAAAACACTTTTAAATGTAAAAAAACTTTTTAGATGCTGTCGATAATACATAAGTTTATTCAAGGAAAAGACTATATACATGGGATGTGCTGTAGAGGTCCGAATGGGAAGCGCCTGGGTGTTTATTGTAGGTAATTTTTGTTCGTAAGGCAATTCAGGGTGTCTGGAGAAGCTATAGAAGAGCCGTTACGAAAATGTTTTCACCTGTTTGCCATCACGGCGGGGCGGAGAAGGATATGAGAATGGAGAAAATATGTACAATGACGGTTTGGCAGGGGTTTTTTTGAACACTAGGCTAATTACATACAATTTTTGGTATGAAATACTAGGATGGAAAGTGAATCAATCAATCTAATAGCGACTTCTCGGCCTCGGGCACTTTTTGCGGCTTCGCGTTCGCCGGCGCCGGCTTTGCTTCCTTGGTGAAGTCGATAAGATCTTCGCCCGCTTCCACCTGAACTTGTTCCCGTAAAAACGGTGGTCTGGATTCCTGGAATTTTTTAGAGATAGTGTTTTTTCCCTAGTATAAGCCCCCCCCCCCAGCCCAGTAAAATCTGTCAAAATCGAATCTAGATGTTTAAAACTGACTAATAGTAATTTTTACACGTTGCTCTGGTATTTTTGACGAGTTTTAGATATTTTCAAGTGGGGAAAACTCAAAATCGATCCATTTTAGCTCGTATTTTCGGAATTTTTCTCGAAGAAAAGAATATAAGGACGTATACAAGTCTTGGCCTTTTTTAATGAAATGGTACTAGCAAAATCCCCGGATTTTTCCCATTTTTAGCTAGATGTTCACAGCACCCACCTCTTTTGCTGGTTCCTGAATCGGTGTTTTCCGTTCTTCCGGCATCTTTGCCACATCAACAGCCGACATTTTCGAAGTTTGCGGGTGCGCTGGAAATTTTCGGGGATAGAAATTGATACCGGTGGCTGCCACCAAAATAAGGGGGAGACCGGCGTGTGAAAATACCCGCCTCCCGTTCCAAAAAAAGTGATAGCCGGTCTGTTTCTTTTACCGGAAAAGAGATGGAACTAGCGAAAAAGACACCAAGGAGAAGATCGGAAAATGGAGGGATGAAGTGAGGCCAGTAGGTGGATCCATGGATTGTTTAGATTTTTGTGGCTTGTTTATAGCAGGCGCAATCGATTTGATGAAAGTTTTGAGCGGGTTTTGACGATATTTTCAGGTTCATTTGTGAAACTACAAGAAAACAAAGCATTTCGTCACAAAGCTTTACTAAAATCATGGCGAAATCGGGGCCAGACTTTGCGCAACAAACAATTAGCCCGCTTATAGCCTAGCGACGGCCCAAGACAGGTTAATTGGGGCTTATTTCTGGCGAGGGAAAACAGGTATCGCGCAAAGGGCATCACAAAATAAGTTCAGGGATTTTGTTTTGTTAATATTTTAACTTTTTAAGGCTTGACGGTATACCTTGAAGTACTTGGGTCTATGAGGCTTATTTTTTAGATTTGCTGGTTTTAATTTACGTTTTTGGAACGGAAAAGGGCGTATTGGTCAAAGGCTAACCACAAAAACAGTTAGGGGATTGTTAGTTTTAGGAATCGAGTCGAGTTTTGGATAGAATAATGACAAAATTAAATTCACTTTTAGAACATAGTTTTAGCAGGAAGAATAGAAACGAGAATGTGCTCTTAGACGCTAGGACATGTAGAAACAGGTTAGAGGATTTATAATTTTAGGAATCTAGTCGATTTTGGGCTAAGATAATGTTGAAATTTGCTTAAATTTTAGGCAATGCTTTTTAGCAGTCAGAATAAACTAGAGAATGACATCTTCGATGCTCTAAAGATGCACTTTTCAGATGCAGTCCAACTTTCAAAACAAAGAGCCTCCTCTAGGCTTTCGCAAAGCCAAAATGGCCGACTGCGCGATGTTGTTGTGGATGTTTTTGGATCGATCTCTTCTCTGGCCGCTCTCCAGCTGCACGGTCTATCCCCAATGGCCCTGTTTTTCTCGGCTCCTCCGCCACCCACCCCGGCCTATCTGTTTTGGCTGTGTTTTTTTCGCCGAGCAATTTTTCCCACGCCGTAACGCGCCGGGGAAACCGGATCGGATTGGCCGGGGTATTAGTCAGCGATGGTCGAATCTTTCAAGGACGTCGTCCATTTATTGAAAATCAAAAATTTTTCACGAAAATTTAGTTATATTGTGTTTCCGGGAGAGCTGAATGCATATATTTAGAAAACTTTAATAAGCTATTAAAGATTTGAAATTTTGAAATTTTGGTCGAAAAGGGAGCAGTTTGGTCAAAACATCTATATTTTTGGGAGGATGTCAGAAGCGCCAAAGCAAAAGCGCCAATCACTAAAGCGCGCAGGCAGAAGCGCCAAACGAAAAGCGCCCAATGCCCAAAAGCGCCCAATGCCAAAAAGCGCCCAACGCCCAAAAGCGCCCAATGCCCAAAAGCGCTCTATGGGGAAAGCCAACGTATGGAGAGAGGAAACAATTACATAAAATGGCTTTTTTCAAGCTTTGTATGCCTTTTAAACGTTGTTTAGCGATAGGTAGGCTTTGTAGACGGCAAATTATCACCCCGAGCGGGTTGTTTTGGCCTTATTGGGTCTTTTTGGCTTGAATTGCCGTGTTTCAGTCTCTAGTTTTACCGGGTTTGCCTCATGTTCTCACGATTTCTGATGTTTTCAGTCACAATACTGTTGCAAGCACGAAATACTTGTTATAAAACAGTGTTTGGAGGCCAGAACGACGAGAAAAACGCCGTATTTCCGGGTAATGGATCCGAAAATGGCACTAAACAAGCTTCCACGGCGACTTTATACCTTTCTCACATTAGAAATGTATATTCGGACCGGTTCGAGCATGTAGAGATCAAGACACTACGTCAAAAATAGTGGAAAAGCTGCTTTAGAAGAGAACTAGCTATTCGAGTGAAAGAATGCCCTAGGAGGCCAAAATAACTTCACCCAGTCGGTAATTTATGGCCTAGTAGGACGAACTGCCGCTAAACTACCATAATAACACCAGAAAACCTATTAAAACAACTATTTTATCTCTACTTTATGTAATTGTTTCCTCTCTCCATACGTTGGCTTTCCCCATAGAGCGCTTTTGGGCATTGGGCGCTTTTTGGCATTGGGCGCTTTTGGGCATTGGGCGCTTTTCGTTTGGCGCTTCTGCCTGCGCGCTTTAGTGATTGGCGCTTTTGCTTTGGCGCTTCTGACATCCTCCCATATTTTTCTATTTTTCTTAATCTTTTTTAAAGTTATACGCTCAGGAGTAATGGCAAACATTTTTGAAACAATTCCTCGATTTGTATAGTATTAAAAAATTGAACAAAAAAGAAGGCCACGATAACGCAAAAGCTCCGAAATGTTTGTGTAACATTTTCCTTTTTGTTTATTTTCTCTGTTCCAATAACCCGCGATAATCCTACAACCTTCCGGTATGAGCTAGACGTAAAACAACAAGGATGAAGTGGTTCTGCTTCAAGTTTTGGTTCTACTACCGCCTGTTTATGGCCTGTTTACAGGTACTTTTCGAGAAAAACCCAGATAAATCGCTATTTTTAGCACTTCAACTTTTGCGTCTCGCTCTACACGAACTGCGTGTATTTTGTGCTGTGGAAGAGTTACGATCTGCTATGGTGCGCAAAATTCGCCGAGACTAAAGCAGTTTTTAGGTTCTGGATGCACATCATGCTGTGTACCTGTTTCCCGCCGCTGCGCAGCGAGAACTACCTGCTCGTGTGGTGCAACTTGATAAAGATGAAGCGGACCCGATATCCAAGGAATACATATAAGGTTTAGTATACTTTTAAATAGCTATTGTTGTTTTTAGGAAATCTACCTGATGCTCTATGGAGGAACCGGGACAAAAGCGGAGGCAGCACTAGAAGATATGGCAGAACGGGTGAGTATAAGAAAATCGGTGGAATAAAGGGATTTTAGGAACAAACCGAACGGGTTGAACGACGGAGTCGTAGAAGCCGACGGAATCAAAGTCGTGAGCGAGCCCGACGCGGAGAAGTTGTGCCGGAGGAGGAGCTCGAAAGCTCATCTACCAGTGATAGTGAGGAGGAACAAGACGAGATCGACACGATGGGAAAACATAATGGGAAGAGGTAGTATTTATATAAATGCTGCTCATTTCAACTTGTACTCATCAATTTTATCTAAAAGTCACTTTTAGCCACACGATCCCCGATATAATCCGCGAAGAAGAGGAGGAGGAATGCCGAAAATATGTCCGCGTCGGTTCCGCCGTCGAAGATTCGAACAAGGACCTGGAGGCTGGTAAGTTTTCGCTTCAAAGTTGAGCCCATTTTTTAGCCGAAGCCAAGGCCGCCCCCGTTCCGCCACCACGTCGGCATCGAGCCCGTAGGGATCATGTCGAATTGGAGAATGGACGGGTGACGTTTGGCTTGGATAACACGGGTACGTAGAGAAGTGATTTTCAAGACTCTTTACCCGGTTTTACGTGCTCTAAAACGGTTTTTAGCCAGTGAAGATGCCAAGGAGGATGAGACTTCATCTGACTCCTCCCCGGACCGCCCGGCCGTCCCGACGGCCTCCCGGAGCACCGAGGAGACCGAGGTGCCCCAGTCTGGAGAGGAAAGCGACACGAACAGCACGTCAAAGTGGCTCGACAAAGTCCCCGGCGTCCCGAAGGCCATTCGGAATCGGTAGGGCTTGATTGATAATTTTGTGATTTTTAATATCGAGACATTTTGAGATTATTGCTGATGATGTATGGTTTGTTCACCGCTTTTTCTTTTTCAAATTTGTATTCTGGAGCTTTTGCATTATCGGGGGAGGCAGAACCATTTTTTTCTTTAGCATTCAACTTTTCTTATAGAAATAGAGGAGGTGTTTCTCACGTTTTTGGCTGTTCCTGAATTGAAATTAATCAAACCCATCTCAAAATATCGATTTTTCTGTTCTAAATTTTTTGTTTTTGAAATTTCTATATTTTTGTCCAAAAAGATTATTGCGATTTTTCGCTTCGTTTTTAGATAGATTTTTAATCGTCGCTTTTAATGGCCCATTTTCAGATTCCGAAAATCCAACTCTTCACCCAAAGACCCGGAACCGGAGCGACCGCCATGGGTGAAGCCGCCTGAGTAAGATACCACTACAAAAAAGTAAACTTTTTTAGAACCACCTTCCAAAAGATCAAATCCGCGCTGACCGGCATCAAGCCATCAATGCCGTCGATCCCGAAATTTGGCAGGAGTGCCAGCACACAAAGCTCACCGAGTAGGGCATTTTTTTGCGCTAAAACTTGGATTTAGGAGAATTGGACATACTGAAGCCCGACTACACGAACACGTACGATGTTCTGGACCCGAAGGCGGCGGCCAGGAGGGAGAAGCACGATCGGAAGGTAGGGGAGTCGGTTATTTGTATGGGGGCGAACTTTATTCTTTAGGATCCAGTTTTTTATATAAAAGATGCCAATGTTTTAAAATTTTTTTCATATTTTGAAGCGCGAAAATTGTGGAAATTTTTAGTAAGAAAATATTGGGTTTTTAGCAAAAAATTGCGACCGAAATTTCGAATTTTTCATGTACAAAATTTTCGATTTTTTTACATAAAGAGAGAAAGTGTTTCTCCTCTTTTTTTGATATTGCTAAACCCCATAACTTCGGAATGGAAAAAATCGCGAGTTTTTGAGAAAAATAGCTAATTTCCACCAAAGTCTCACATTTTTAGTCATTTCCTATGTTTTTAGATAGTTTATCGCTGGAAAGCTAGCGTAATTTTACTAAAAACGAAACTAATATACTTATTATTATTTTATTAGAACGCCTAGGAACCCCCCTGGTATTGGCAAAGAACCGGAAATCCGCTTCTTTCAACTCTTTCGTTTCAGGCTTTGACAAAACGCGTACGCGGCCGCATCCGCGAACAGCTGAGGGAAGCGGCAAGGAAGGAGCGGAAGTGAGCAGTTTCCCAAATTTTATAATTTTGTGTTTTTTTAGGCGGCGAATGATCACCGACGCGATCGAGCTGATCCTCTCGCTGCTGCGAATGATCACGTCGTTTGCCGTGCTCGTCGGCAACATCCGGAAAACCTTCCTCCCCGCCCAAATCAAATACCTACAGCCCGGCCAGCATCACTACGATTATTACCTGCTCAACGCCATCTTCAGGTGAGTTCTGGATTTTTTTTGTCCTGGCTGGAAAAGACAACAAAGTTTTTAAAAAAATTAACATGAAATTTTTAGGGTGACCACCTTCATGGACGTGACCATGTTCTCGCTCAACTTTATGTGGATCTACTGCCTGCAGTGGCATCTGTTCTGTCGGCTCGGCTTCTGCCGCTTCTGGTTCTGGTGCGGAGTCCTCGTGACGGTCGGTTATTTTTTAGCGATATTTACCGTTGTAATTCCAAATTTAATAATGCCGCATTTCATATTGTCGAATTTTCATAATAGCTATTTCATAACGCCGAATTTTCGTGATAGGAAATTGCAGGTTTTTGCACTGATTTGCGTGCCGTGAATTCGACATTGTGAGCGTTTCAGAGTTTCAAAAATTCGGCATTTCAAAATTTCAGGATCATGAAGGGTCGGTATTATGAAATTTCGACATTTTTGGGAATAATTCGATGTTTAGAATTAGGTGTTATGAAATCCGGCATAGGGAAAAGTCGCCATTATGGTATTTCGGGAGTATGAAAATGAGCGTGTATGAAATTCGGGATTGGAAGCTTAGCATTATGATATTTCGGTATTGTGAAAATTCGCCTTTATGAAATCCGGGATTTGAAGTTTAGCATTATGATATTTCGGGAATTTGAAATACGCGATTTTGAAGTTCGGCATAATGTAAATTCGCCTTTTTAAATTTCCTGCATAATAAATATTCGTGATAGTGACAATTCGGCATTATCAGAATTAGCATCATGAATATTCGGCATACTGAAAATTTATGATTCCGACATTTCGCGATAATGAAAATTCAGCGTTATAAAAATTTGCGTTTTTCAATTCAGCATAATCAATATTCGTCATTTCAACATTTACCCTTTTCCAGATTGCCGTCACGACGATGGTGTGGCCGATGTCGGTGGCGATGGCCGACATGGACCTCTCGTGGTGTCAATTCAAGAACGGATCTTCGTTGGCCAAATACCAGCCCAGCTGGCGGCGTCATTAAGCGCATTTTGTATTTCAAGCCCCTTATTTCTGAAATGTATGTAATTTCTAGCTTTTCCATTGATCCCCAGCCCCTTAACATTTCCATGATCTTCCCTATATTCGCATTTGTATGGCACGAGATTTGAAAAAGTATTCTGGTTTCGAGCTTTTTTATTGGTGTTTTTACCGCTACGAGTTTCACGCATCTGCTTAAGCATGTATTATATTGACGGTTTTAGAGCTGCTCTTGCTTTTACAGTATCCCCTCTACCACTCAATTTTATAACTTTAAAATACCACCAAAACATACTTTTGCCCCACGGGTAATTCTCATCGCGACACTTTGTCAATGGTTTCTTTGTTTGCACGCCGCTTTGCAATAAATCGTTTGACGTTGTGTTTTGTTGAATCGGCAAAACAAAGTGGGACTTTTTGATGAAATAGAAGGTACTGGTCTGTTAACGGGGGGGGGGATGTATAGAAGACGAAAAACCATTTATCCAGTAATTCCGCTCGGTCCTATAACAAAATATAAATCTTTTTATAACATTTCACGCCGTGTTTAGAAGCGAACAGATCATAAAAAATTATACATATTGGAAAATCGTGGCTTTTTGGTCAAAAAAGTATCAAAATGACCAAAGATATAAAAAATTACGAATTTTCTAAAATGTTTAGGGCAGTTTTGTAACTTTCCAGGAACGAAAAACCACCAAAAACATTAAAAAAACACGATTTATTTATTAACAGGTGGGCATGGGAAGAAAAATACCCCCCTGCTAGCAACCCAGTAACGAATAAAAAACCTTTAGCGTTTGGGCTCGTCTAAAAGAGCACCAAAGGGCCAGGCGCCCTTCTCAAGATTTACCCGGATCCCCCGGATATCGATTGATTTATTGGGGCCCAGCTGGGCAGTGCCCCGGCTTTTCCGTCTTGGAAAATATTGGCTGATGTCCGCAGGATTTTTTAGGATTTCTAAAACCTTCTAAAATGACGGGCTTCGGTTCTATTATTCCCATCGGTTTTTATGATAACAGCGTCCTGGAAGGTAATTTATTCGCTTTTTGGCAAATTTTTTTAGATTCTGAAGATGAAGACGAAGTGGATCTACCCCTGGATTTTGAGGCCATTTTACGAGAACATCTCCATTGCGTGAACTGCTTCACTGCTAGCTGCTCATATTCAGGTAGGTTTAACCGGGCTGAGGGCCTGCTTTAATTTTTACTCCTTCGTAGGGTTTAAAACGTTTTCCAGTCTGTCCTATGACCAGCTGCCGAACGTGCAAATCGGAGTTGCATTCCTGTAAAATGGAGGATCACCTGGAGATTTGCGAATTGGCAAGTAGGTGGGGGTGCCACTGCTGCAACCCGCAGGGCCGGAGGAACCGAGAGGGAAGGGGTTAGCAACGATGTACGTCATTAGGTACGTAAGGCGCTGGAACGCAGACAGATCAGATTTGCAAATTATGCCATTTCGACGTTAAAATTAGTTTTTGATAGAAAATGAGCACCCACTTTGTTGTAACATGGCCGGAAATGGCGCGGCATATAATGGGCGGGGGGAGAGATTTTCATTTTTGTCATCGAAAACCGCGAGAATATGCAATGGATCGCGGGGCCAGGGTTACGCGGCGGCAACCCTGGTCAATAATACTAATAATACTAGTATAAATATAATAAGTTTTTCTAAACTATTTTTACTATTCCTAGGCATAAGAACGTTGTAAATTTTCGTTAAAAATACGAAAAATATAGATTTTTCTATCAAAAAAATGGCTGGCTGCGGCTAATGTAAGTGTCGAATTTTTCAAAAATTTGTGACGTTTTTGGGTAATTTTGCACTTGAAATAGAGTTCAATCGTACTAGAAAGGTCCCCGAAATACCATTTATTATGTTACTAGGCATTTCTCGATTAGAAAAATGTACCCCTCCGATAATGCAATAGCACCTAGAACAAGTATCATTTTAGCAACTCGTCCCCTGTCTCAACGCGCGTTTTGGCTGTGAATTCCGGATGCTACGCAGTGTGCTTGGCGTGCATCTCGAGAAATGCGCCGCCAGCGCAGTCGTTTGTACGCGGGAAAGTAACTGGAAATGTTTGAACGATGAAGCGAAGGTTTCTTTTCCTCCCATTTTTCTACCCCCCTGTTTGAGGCCCAGCTAAAGCGTTGGGGAAAAGGGTTTGACGACTACAGACCTGTACAAACCAATGAGGAGGAGCTGGACCTGATGCTCGCACAGCGTGTACAGGTTTCTTCCGGAATCTCGAGCATTTCCGGGCTTTAGGATGAAATTGTGGAGAGTTACGGGTATAGCCGGAATACGCGCGTGAAATGCAGGGACCGGATTAACAGGAAGCATCCGATAGTACCGTTACGGTATGTGGGGCGTATTACAACTCTTTTTTCTTTGAACACAGCTACCTTTCAGGCCTATCTACAGCCAAAATGGTGAGCTGATTGGTCCTCTAGCTAAAGAAAATCACGATAAAGGGGACAGTAGCGATGAAGAAAAAGCCCTGGAGGTATATTAACAACTACGCGGAGGAAACGCAACTTTTAGAAAGCCAAACGCAAAAAGCAGTTGGCAATGTTCGCGAACTGTTGGATGTGTCAGTACGATCCGGCCAGCCAACACCTCCACACCCTCGGAAATGAAAATCAAAAGTATCGATATCGGACGAAGAAACGGACCACGCCAAAAGTTGTCGGACCGTTTAATGAGGAGCGGAGGCTGATGGTAGGTGCAAAAATTGCTAAAAGCTATTCATCAACTTCACAGAAACTTTTTGGTGCTGTAATCTTAACGGGGGGACTGATCTTGATTTTTCCGCCTTTCCTAGCTGCTAATCTATACAATGCATGTTAATAGGATTTTTGGTTGCTTTTGATTGCTAGGAAGTTACAAAAAATAATTTAAATTGTAACATTTTAACTTTTTTGATTTTAGATACATTTTTGACAAAAATTGAAGCATTTCGAACAGTTTTTGGGTCGTTTTTCATAAATTTTTACCAAAAAGTCATCAATTTTCGAAAATTAAGCTTTTTACGTTTAAAAACTTTGTAAAACATTATAAAAATTGTCTAGATTTTGCTACGGGCCGCATGAAATTACTGTACCCCCTCCGCTAACAGCACAGTGCGAATTTGTGCAACTTTAACTTTTCAGATAGCCCTCGACCAGGAATTCATCTCGGAAGTGGCGACAAAGTCGGATAACATCTATTTCCTGCGTCGTGGCGGGACCATTTATACCCGAAAGTAAGCGTTTATCGTAGCGTAGTGTAGTGTTTACTACTGGCATTTAGATGCCTAGATGTTCTCCGGCGGGATCATGCCGATCACCACTTTATCAGCCAACACTCTTCTGGCGAGGTTTTTACCCCAATTTTAACACCCCATAAGTTCAGAACTTCCTACCGGAACTCGTCAAACGTTGCCCGCTATGGCACCGGGGTTGCCCATTTTATTGCAAGCCATTGCGCCCGAAAAATGGGGAGTTGAGGTGGGGGAAAAGCAGGGAAAGATGAAAGGGAAGCGGAAATCGTCAAAAACAACGTAAATTTTAGGTATATCGACGGGTGCTTCCAGTTTCGTCCATGTACCGTCAAATCCGAATGTACGAATTTTACTCTGGACCGCCTGGCACCGCCAATATTTGCCGAAATTGCTCGATATCTGAATACGGCGTCGCTACGGGAGCTTTCCAAGGTTAGGGGAACTTAAACGATAGTCTCCCGGTGCTTTTTTATTACCGGGGGGGGGTATCAGGGAGGTGAATCAACTTTTTCTTTAGCATCCAATTTTTCTTAAAAAAAAGATGGAAACGGTTTCTACGGAAAAACGCAAAAAGTTCACAGATTTTGATAAATAATACTAAAAAATATGGATTTTTTACCAAAACGGCCGACTTTCGACCAAATTTCGAACGCTTAAAAAAGTTTTTAGAGAGTTTTTACAAATTAAATATAGATAAACGTTACTAAAAGTACTATTAAAATGCGCACTTTTACGTTGCCTGGCATTTCTGGGCTTAAAAACGTTCCCCCTGTAATCCGTGACACCCAGAATTTGTGACGATTAAAATCAGTTGAAAAAGGCAAATATACTATTTTCTAGGTATCAAAATCGCTACGAAATATGCTGTACACCTGCTTCCGGGCGCACGGGGTCGTGGAGGTGATGTGGAAGAAGCTGGCGGATAAATGGGTGGAGGATGGATTTGTCAGTTGTTTTAATTGATACCTTAAATGCGTAAAAATCATTCAAAGCGTTCAGAAAAAAATTAAAAATTTCGAAATTGAGCCATTTTAAGAAATGGAGCTTCCCGCGAACCGATTTTCCGGTGAAATACGAGTTTTTCCCTTGCCCAGAGCTCAACGAACACATCAAAAGCTGCCCGTTTTCGGATCGAGCCGAGTGGCCAGAATCCAAGGTATACACGACAAAATTCTTTGATTTTCTGCCGTAATACTTTGTAGTTTTAATTTTATTTGAACATTTTAGGTGCCAATTTTCCCGGCTGAACTGCTCTCCCCGATCATTGGCAGCCAGGCGGAAGCGCAAGCAGATCTATACGCCGTGCCGGACCTGTGGAGAGGAGACGTTCCGGCGTCAAACCATTCAAAGGGTCGACTACGGATAGATTGGCTTTAGGACAGTTGCGTACGTGGTATAAAGTGATTTATCGTAGAAAACAGAGCGCATTGTTTGCAGTTTATGAAGTGCAGAATTTCGTTCTATTAGTTTCCGGTCTAAAAAAGATCAAAAGGCATAATTCGTCGGTACTGGGCCTTTAGCGGGGCGGGGGGAAAAATTTGGTGTATCGCGCGTAGGGACGAAATAATGAAATAAACTCCATTTTTCTAATAGTTGCGCGTCTTTAAAACTTAAAAAGTTGACATAAAAGATTAGCGTTTCGAAAAGTTTAATTTTAGTTAAAAAAATGTACGAAGGGGTCAAGAAATTAATATTTTACAATTTTCTACATTTTTATGGATTTTTAGCAGTCCATAAATGCCAGTAAATAATTTATGACTAAAAACATAAATAATTTAGTGCTAAAAACGCTGCATAACCACGATAAAACGCCAAATTTTGTTAGGGTAGGTATGCGCTAAACAACTTTTCCACCCCCGCTAAAAGACCAGCTCCGAAATTCCAAATTTTTTCCAAATAACCTCTGCAAGCTGCCCCCAATTTGACCTTTACCTCCCCGATCGGCCGACAAACCTCGAACCAGCCGGCCAGAGCGCAGAACGGCAGAGCTCTCCATAGAGGACAGAGCGTATTTTTGGCCCCCGAATCGAGGGCTAGACCGGGTGCACTTTCGGGACGCCTTACTCTCCAACAACACTGAAAAAGAAGAACTAAAAAACAAGACGACGTAACCTCCCTCGGCCGGCTGGGACAACACATTTCATGTTGGTGTGGCGGTACTTGTGTACCCGCGCTGACCAGGAGGCGTTTTAGGTCAGTTTCTTGGTCTAGAAGTCATTCTGGGCAACGCTTTGTCCCCAAAATGTGAAAGATTTTGATTTTTTTCAATTCTACCCGTTGCCTAGAGGCTTAGGAATTTCACGTGAATTTCAGCAGCCGTTTCACCAGCCCGAAAATAATTTGAACACTGTTCTGTTTCGCCGTGGAATTTATCTTAAACTAATTTTGGCTATAACTATTTTATTTTACGTTATTTTCAGACTAAATTAAAAATATGAGGCTATTTAATGATGCTCTATCGAGTGGCGCTCCAAAAAAGATGGAAAAACAGCCAAAAAAAGTCGATAACTAGCTACCCAACTCTTTTTTCCAAGCTCTACTTGTGTTTTTGTTTTTGCTAGTTTATGTTTTGTAAATTGTTTTGGGCTTAAAATTAAGACTCTTAGCAAATTTGTGTTGCTGCATCGAACGGGGTCCATTACAGCCAAATTTTTCCGCGCGAAAAATTCCATAATTTTTTGGGTAGAGAGCTAATAAATTTCCTATTTTTTCTAGGCATTTCCTTTACTAAAGCCGTTTTTTTCAGGATCTATGCAATTGGCGCTCACCCGCGTTTTCATCGACCACCCTCGAATCATGCTCGCCCGCTACATGCAGGTGATGAACCGGCGGCCGCTGCTGACCCAATGTGTATCGTCAGGTTAGCAAGCTTTACCGATAAATTATAAGCCTTAAAAATTATGATTATTGTTGCTATACCTCAATTTTTAGCGCTCATCGCCGGCGGCGGCGACCTCCTTTGCCAAAAATTGGTCGAGAAGCGATCATGGGAACAATACGACGCCATCAGAACCGGGCGCTTCTTCGTCTTGGCTGGAGTTTTTATTGTAAGGTTTTGTTCATAAAAATTATCTATCGTTGTCTATTTTTTTATGCAGTTATTACTATTTTTATCCCTATTTTCAGGCCCCAGCCCTAAACCGATGGTTTCGAGTGCTGGAGATGGTGCGCGGCGGCAACCCGAAGCTGATCCCGCTCAAACGAATGCTGATTGACCAGGTACAAACCTCATAAATTGCTAATTTCGATCTTTAGAGCACATTTTCCCCAATTTTCAACGGCCTCGTCCTGTTCAATCTGCGGTTGCTGGAGGGCTTCAACGTCAAAGATTGCGCCGATTTGACAAAACGGGACTGGTGGCCGGTGTGGAGCACGAGTTTGATGGTAAATCTTGCTTTTTAGTATGCCGCAAGTCTAAATATTCCTAGTAACGTTAGAGTAAAATTTTTATTAGCATTTGGCGCAAAATTTAGCTATATTTGAAGTTTTTTAAGTGAAAACTCTTTGTAAAATTTCCCAATTTCTCAAAAAGTCTAATTTGTCCATGCCGAAAATTGTAAGGTTTCTAGGGCTAGTGATAGTTAAAAAACAGTTAGAAACTATTCCTCTTTTTATTTTAGAAGACTTGGAACCTCGAGGATTTTTCCTGATCCGGAAAAAAACTAAAGAAAATGCTGGTTTTTGGCACAAAAAATGCTTGGCTTTGTACCAAAATGTCAAATTTTTAAACTAGTGTAAACTTTAAAAATAGTTTTCTACTTAAAATATATCTCAGTGTTATTAAAAGACGCTAATTACCTCTCCTTTTCCAGTTCTGGCCCTTCATCCAGCTCGCCAACTTCTACCTTGTGCCCCTGAACATGCGCGTCGTTGTCACGCAGATCGCCGGCCTCTTCTGGAACTCGTACCTCAGCTACAAGACGCAAACCAAGCTCGATGTGTAGTATGTAATTTCGGTTTAGTTGTTAGCACCAACTTTTTAATATTACAGGTTTCCCCAGAAAGAATTTCCCCAGATAAGCCTAGAATTTCCCCAGAAAAGTGTGATACGATTCGATTCTCGTCTCTTCCCCGTGATGAGCTTGTTATGATAATGCCCTGCCCCCGCATCTACTTTCAATTTTGCTAGCCCCCGAAAAACGGGTTATTGTTATTTGTGTGTTTTTTTTGTGGCTAATAAACTAAAATTCGTAGCATTTCGGTGGTATTGGTTTTTTCTCGCGGCGCTGTCGAGATCGATGTCTCCGCGCTCTTATCGCGCGTTAGGGCTATCAATCTGATAGTCTCATCACCGTTTCGCCGGGGTCTGGGGCGGCGGCTGGCTGAATGCCAAGTAAAATAAGAAGATATATAAGAAAATTCGGCACTGAACTGTTAGCGGTGGGGGGTAATTGTTTTAATTTATTGCGCCTATCCCTATTGCTAATTTTATGTGTTTTTATAGTTTTTTTGGAACTTTTGATTGCTAGGAAATTATACAAAAGATTAACCTTTTCAAACGCTGTAAAAATTCCAACGATTTTGGGCGTTATCCATACGGTCTTGAGCAAAAAGTCACTTCTCGACAATTTTTATAATTTTGATATGTGTTTTATAGCTAAAAATTGTGCAAAATGCTTTGAAAATGATCTGTATCTGATCATACTACCTTAGGGAAGATTGCCCCTGGCTTGTATTGGGGGCCCCTTAAGCGCCACAAAACTCTTTTTTTTTCCTTTAATTTCACGCGCCAAATTAATTGTTTTTTCATGGGTTTTTTGAAGTTCTTAACTTTTAATTTAACTGTTTTTTTAAGCATTTTCTTTGCATTTTCACAGCTTACTTTTATTTCTTCATAGCTCGTTTCAGCGCCACCTGCAATTTGATGGGTACGCGGCCCCACCCACTCATATGATCGTCAAGTGACCCGGATGCAAGCCGCCGAGCGCCACCTTCGCCCTCCGACCCCCATTTTGCGAGCCGTTGTCTCGTGCGTGTTCCGTCTTGTCCGCACAGTCGCCACAGCAGTTCCCCAAGAGACGCCCGCCAAAATGAGCCCGCACGAATCGAACCATGCGCTGTATCAGGTAAAGAATTTTCGATTTTATATGCTCTAGTTGCAAAGTATGAGTTGACGCTTGTCGTGCTCGTTAGACGATCGGTTCTGGGTTGTTAGCGGGGAGGGCTTTGGCCTATAGCTCCGCGAGATCCCAATGATGAAATACAGACCATTAGCGTAGATTTTTGACTCCTACCATTTATAAAGAATGATAAACAAATTGGTCAAAACTTTCGCATTTTTAAGGTCTTCTAACCGATTTTAGGAATTTTTAGTAATGAGAAGGTCTTAAAAAAACTAGCAAATGCTAAATGTTTTTCTAGATAGATAGAGGCCCTTGTGGATGGCGGAATTTCGCAAGAGTTAGTACACTTTCTGGCGAGTACTGCTCACTAATGCGCCAATCACTCCCCCAACAAGGAAATTATTTGCTTTGCCGTCACTCCCGCCCCTATTACAGCGCCCACTGATTGCAAATTGATGCGCGGTCCTCATTTCTCGATCTAAAAACTATTTTAAATCGCGAATTTAATTTCTCTATAGTAGCTGATGGTTTGTAACATCCCATTATATCAGGTCCGGCCTTTTCATCTGAAAAAGAAGCTGGCCAAAGAATTTTTTTGAATTTATTTATTGTATTCTCTTAACACTTACCACTTTCAGGCAGCCATCTCGCGGCTCAACTCGTTGCAAACAAACACGCAGACGCTGGAGAAGCTGCGCGAGAAGCGCCACCTTTTCCAAGAGAGCAACGTGCCGGAATGTGTGGAAATTATGCGAAAATGCGGCATAGAGGTTGGCTAGGTCTCGATTTTTCTAAATATTTTTAGCCCGAAGAAATCAATGGGTTGAACGTGATTCACGTCAGTGGCACGAAGGGTAAGGGATCGACGTGTGCGTTTGTCGAATCAATGCTACGATCTCTTGGCTACAAGACCGGGTTTTACAGGTGAGAAGCTGATTCTTTTTTTGGAAAACCCTAAATTTAGTTCTCCGCATCTGGTACACGCGCGAGAAAGGATCAGAATAAACGGGAAGCCGATTTCCGAACGGGCCTTTGCTGAGAATCTCTTCAGCGTTTACGACAGAATTGTGAAAGCTGTAAGTTTTCATTTAGCTAGCTTCTAGCTGATCGAGCTTTTAGGTCCAAGAATCCGACCACCTCTCCATGCCAGCGTATTTCAAGTTTTTGACGATCCTGGCATTCGACGTCTTTGCGCGCGAGAAGGTTTGCTATGGTACATATAGTAAAATTTTTGTTTTAGGTCGATGTTGCGATTATCGAGGTCGGCATCGGTGGGCAGTACGATTGTACGAACGTCATCGAGTAAGTTGATGTCACAGATTTCTAGCTAGATCTTTCAGAAAACCCATCGTGACGGCCATCACCACCCTCGATTATGATCATACATCGTTGCTGGGGAATAGTTTAAAAGAAATCGCGTGGCATAAGGTTAGAAAATTAAAAAAAAACTTGAATTCTGTGATGTTAGGCAGGGATTTTCAAGTATGACGCCCCGGCCATCGTCTCTGATGTCGCTCCAGTTAGCTACGAAGTGATGCGAGCGAGGGCAAAAGAAAGACAAGTAGGGAATCCTAATTATTAATTAAAAGATTATATCAATTTTCTTAATTGCGGATCTTTCGTTGTGTGGTGTAAACCATTTTCGGGGTTTTGTAGCTGGGTGAGCGGGAGCTTTTTTGTCTTTTGGCAGACTTTGTTCGCTCTTTGTGCGCGTTTTGAGCATCAGTGAACGGAATGGGATTTAGCACATTGATAAATGGCCCCAGTTTTTGGCTATTTAGCCTCAACGAGGCGGTTTAGGCGAAATAATTGAAAAGCCGGATGGAATATAAAGAAATAAAGGTTAAAATAAGTTAAAACTTGTAAAAGGTTCAACGTTAAAAGTTCTGTTCTTTCAGGTTTCCACGCTGGCCATCAGCCCGCCCCTCTCTTCCTACGATATCGCCCAGGATCTGCATGCCGGAATCGCCGGTTTGATGCTCGTAATTATTTTTACTTTTCCTTTCAGGCGAGCACCAAACGCACAACATTTCGCTGGCGCTGCAGGCGGTCAGGACATGGCTGGAACGGATGGGAACAGGTATCACCCCCCCCCCCCCTTCGATTGTTTGACTGATACTTACTATTCTCGACAGGTGATCAGCGCCAACCGGAAAACAATGATTGTATGGCCTTGGCGTTGAACAACAAAACAAAGATCATTTTAGGAAATACGTGAAAAATGGGGTTTTTTGAGAGCTGAAAAAGCGGTATTTTTGGAAATTCTAGCTTTTGGCAGATTTGATGCGGTTCTTTAGTATTGCTTTAGGCGGGCGCACTTTTTAGTAAAATTCTGTATATTTAAAGTGGAAACCTTTTTCGATGATTGAGAAGCTGTTGAAAAATCTAAATTGTCGACGAAAAAGAGTGAATTTTGGCCGTAAAACGGATATTTTTGTATTTTTAATAGTTCTTTCTAAATGGCTTGTGCAAGGTTGTAAGTTTCCTTAAGACAAAATAGTTTATAAAAGCTTTCCCTAAAACCGCTGGTTCAGGAGACATTTTCGCGGAAGAACGATGGTGCCCCGGGAAGCCGTTCAGCGTGCCAAAAGTTTTGCTGCAGGCTATAGAGTCGTGCCACTGGCCGGGCAGGAGCCAGGTATGGAATTTTTGCCTTCATTTGTTTCTTTATAATTTTAGGTCGTCCACTCGAACATTGGCAACTTTTACCTCGACGGTGCGCATACGCCGAAATCTATCGAGGTAGCTGTCCTCCAAAATTTCAAAAAAAGGAAATTCAGATGTGCGCCGCCTGGTTTGCGGGTGCGGTTCCGGAAAAGAAGGCCGACCGCAAGAGGGTGCTGCTTTTCCATTGTACAGCCGATCGGAAGCCCGAGACGTTGTTGCCTTATTTGAAGGTTGGTGAAATACTAAAGAGAAAACGCGGAATAATGAAACTAAGGTTCTTTTTCTAAAAAATCCTCCCTGCCTGCTAAAAATCATCCCTCCCCCGCAAATGAAAAAGACCCAGACGCGCGTAAATCCAAATATATCTTCTAAAATCCGGCATTAATATACTAACTTTCAGCCCCTCCACTTCGACTACGCTCTCTTCTGCCCGACGGTCGTCAGCCGGACACAAGACGGAAAATCCGACATGACCAACTTCAACCAAAACGTCGAGCAGGCCTGCAAGCGCAGCATCGAGGCCAGCGAGACGTGGACGACAATTGATTCAAATACGGTGAGTAGACCCTTTAGAACTTGAATCTACGATATTTCCAGGAATGCCACACGTTCCCCTGCATCCAATCGTCAATCCGCTGGCTCGAGCAACAACACCAAAACGGGCAACTCGACGTGCTGGTGACGGGCAGTCTGCACCTCGTTGGCGGTGTGTTGTCCCTTGTCGACCCGGAATCTGCCGTTTAATTATGTTTTTTAAAGTTTTCCCTTTTCTACTTATTTTGTGATACCTCTTGCTCAATTTCCCCCGATTTTCGCACTTTCTAGGGATACCTCTTGCTCAATTTCAACGGTTTTCTGGCTTTGTAGGACAGAAATGGACCTCAAATCGTAAACGCGGCTTTTGTTTAGTTTTTCCTACATATTTTGTGATACCTCTTGCTCAATTTCCCCCGATTTTCGCACTTTCTAGGGATACCTCTTGCTCAATTTCAACGGTTTTCTCGCCTTGTGGGTTGTGAAAACAGGCCCGTAAGGTATATCTGCTACTCCCAAACCAACGCGGCTTTTTTAGTTTTTCCTGCCGATTTTGTGATACCTCTTGCTCAATTTCCCGACTTTTCTCACTTTCCTCACATTGCCTTTGCTCGTTGCCCATTGTTAGACGGGTTTTATCATCGATTTTTTTTGGGATGGATATTTAGTGTTAGGTT